GGGGGGATGGCCACACTATAATCCCTTCTCCTCCATTCTCCGCTTGGGATCTTGGGCATGCATGCACAAACGCCCAGCATGAGTTTAAGCCACCGGGTCTGGGGCTCGAACCGCGGTCGACTACATGGGAATCCAGTGATGTAGCTATTATGCCATCTGCTGGTCCCTATTTATTTTATTTTAATTTGACCAGAGAGTAATAGACTAAAAGAGAGAGAGAGAGAAAGTGAGAAGGTAAGCCACGAAGTCCGGGACTCAAACGGTAATTGGCCATGTGGGAGTCCAGTGCCCTTAACCACTATGTCACCTGCTGGCCCCAAATAAAATAATTCTTAGAAAAAGAAAATAGACAGCTGTTTAATTCATCCATTAATAGAATCAGAGAAATGGCAAATATGTGTTAGGATTCCATCTCCAATCAACTCCTATCGTTATTCATTTATTAAAAATTTGGGGGGTCCTGACAGGTGGCATGATGGTTAAGGGCACTGGACTCCTACATGGCTGACTGTGGTTCAAGTCTCAGATCTGGCAGCTTGCTTTCTCCTTTCTCTCTCTCTCTCTCTATGTCCCTCTCTGGTCAAATTTAAATAAATAAATAAATAAATATCAATAAAATAATTCTTTAAAAAAAATTGGAGTGGAGACCAGTAGGTGGTATGGTAGTTAAGACACTGGACACTCCCATATGGTCGACTGCAGTTTGAGTCTCAGACCTGGTGGCTTACTTTCTCTCTCTTTCTCTCTTTCTCTCTCTCTGTCTCATTAAAAATAAATGAATGAATAAAGTTTAATAAATAATTCTTTAAAAAATAATTTCTTTTGGCCATAGGGCACATGCACTTGCCAAAGAAAGACATAGAAATGGGGGAAAGGAAGTGAGGCGTGGTCATGCCACAGTCCCTTCCTTTCATGTCAGGATTTTGGTCACCCATGCACACGCTCCTGGCATTTTTTTGAGTTTTTTGAGCCACAGGGTACAGGACTCAAACCACACAATTGGCCATGAGAGATCCAACCACCTTAACCACCATGCCACCTGCTGTCCCCCTCCCATTATTAAGTTTGATCACAGTAAAAAAAACAGTATGTAACTGTAGATGTTTAAAAGTTGACACCAAGACACCAATCTTTTTGGCTGGGTTTACATTAAATGTGGTAAGAATCAGTAACACCTGTATTATTTATAAACAATAAACAGAAGGAACTCAAAAGCCCTGGTAATATCACTGTTCTATCCAACCTTGAAACCTAAAGTTTGAGCACACAGTATGTGTATAAATGGCAAAAGGATATAAGTAACAGATACAATAGTAAGAAAGAGGTCACTGGTTTACATTACTCCTTGTTTTCTTTTGTTTTGTTTTTTTTTTGGAGAGAGGTTTTTGCTATAGGGTGTGTGCATTTGCCAGAAAGACAGAGAGAGACAGAGAGACAGAAAGCGAGAAATCATCCCCCAGGGGGATGGCCACGTTGCAATCCCTTCTCCTCCATTCTCCTCTTGGGATCTAGGGTACGCATACACACTCGGCGTGGGATTAAGCCACCAGGTCCAGAACTTGAACCACAGTCAACTACATGGGAGTCCAGTAACATAGCCATTACAGCAACTGCTGGTCCCTACATTACTCCTTTTTAAAAACTAGATTATTGGGGCCAGCAGGTGGCATGGTGGTTAAGGTGCTGGACATGTCCAACAGCGGTTCGCGTCCCAGACCTGGTGGCTTGAAACTCACATTGGATACATATATATGCATGCCCAAAATCCCAAGAAGAGAGTGGGTGAAAACGGACTGTAGCATGGCCATCCCCCGCCCCACCACCTTCCCAGGGAGGTGATTTCTCACTTTCCCTCTCATTGTCTCTGTCTCTCTGGTGAGTGCATGCACCCTATAGCAAAAACGTAAAAAAGAAGAAAAAAAGATGATCTAAAATCAATTTTAGACAATGTTACAAAGAATATTCTACCATAAAATCAAAACTGGGGCCAGCTCATGGTGTGATGGTTAAGGTTTCCTGATCCCATAAGGCTGGCAGAGTGGGTAGAGTCCCAGACCTGGTGGCTTGAGAAATGTGCCAGGTACAAGTGTGTGCGTGCCCAACATCCTGACAGGAGGGAGAAATGGAGGAGAAAGGATTGCAGAGTGACCACGG